GGGGGGGGGGAGTAACAAGAGCACGATAGATGGTTGTGGACGACGGCTTAAGCGGAAGGTGAAGAAGGTTGTTGGTTTACCATATGGTATTGTAGCGGCGGCAGTAATAATAGAAGCTGATTAGTGGAGATGGGATGGCTTGTGAGGTGTTGCGATTGCTGTATGCTCATATTTATGCGATTAACTGAGTAATCTGTGATGCATGCGTTGTTTTGCTGTTTTTGCGTATGCAAAATTCAAAAATTATGCTAATTTTAGTAAGTCGCACACCGTATTATCGTCATTATCTAATTAGAAACGATCATCAAAGCAATATCACCGACTGACTTACCTGTTAGCAACTGATCAATCAATAAGCGATCGATCACACCATCGTTTTAAGATTTTTAACATTAATGGAAACGTAAATAATGTGTTTGGACGGGAAACAAGACTCGAATTAGAAAACATTAGAAAGCAAATTTCATAGTAGATGATAGATAAAGAGATGAACTGGCGACATTCATAAATTTATAAGCGAAGCACTGACCCGTGAATATAATTTCATTGCATCTATAATGTTATTATAATAATTATTATTTACGATGATCATTCTCATTAGATTGAAAAATTACTGTGTACTAGAGAAGATGAAAAATAGTTTTCACTGGTAATTATATTGCGAAAGCACTATCGATGATTCAACAACAGTAATTATGCACACTCATTCATGTGCATGATTGAAGAATAAAGACGACGACATACATCTATATGAATCCTAATTGTAAGCTACATTTTGGATCGTTTCTGGAGATGCTTAGTTTAGTTTCAGAGTGAAATTTGAAAGAAAAAACATAATAATAAGCAGCAGCAGCAGCAGCAGCAAGAGAGGGGTTAAGGTAGGTTTGAGTGGTCGGTCATATGCTGCTGTCGAATAGAACATTTGGCATTTTCTTGTGGCTAGATTAAAGTGGATTTCACAATTCGAAATGCTAACGATAGATCATTTGTGAGTGTTTGTGCAGCATAGATATGCGCTTTTATAAGCATAATTAATGTGAACTGTGAAGTGAAGTGAATTGTTTGAAAAGTGAGTGAAACGTTCGATAAAATTACGACAAATTACTCTTTGGAAGTGAAATGTCGATTGGTTTTTTTCTTTTTAGAGATATTTAAGTAAGCGGAAGACTGACTGTAAAAGGAAGAAGACGCACTTAAGCGGCGCCGTTCCAACATTTCAATTAGTTGTTTTTGCTCGAAAAAAACGAAGGAAACTAGTAGTGATTTTTGTTGTTGTTTCGTTTCGAGTGAAAATTATGCGATTAGCGATTTGTATCTTTGTGAGTGCATTGAATTTGGTGTGAGAAAGCTGAGTGCTTAGTTAGTTCCGGTGCTTGAATGTGCAGAATGTTGTAGTGATACGATGCGATGATCTCTTCTAGTATTTGTCAATTGATGTGAGTTATAAGAAGTATTTTCATGGTGATGAGCACAGTTCAGGGTGTGCATTTATTTGTTTAGAATTCAAGCGATTTGCTGCAAATGAATGTCGTTCGAATAATACCGTTCGAATGTGACTAATTCATGCGTGTTTGTGTGTGTCTATTAGTGTTTGGAATTTATTCATCGACAGTTTTGATAGTATTTGAGTGAAATTAAACCGTCACGAAACCTCTATGCAACTTTATATTTTAAATTTGCTCGAATTCAAACAATTCGCTTATGACATTACCTGGATTACCTGGATCATTAATTACATTAATATTCCCACTAAAACTGAAATTGTTACATTTCAATTTATCGCCGCATCTTATTTATTGAAATTTATGCAAAATATATTAAGCTGTAGTTTTCATAATGCATCAGCAATAGTTTCGTGTTGTTTACATTTAGTTTGATCGCAAAAACGACTCCTCTAGTAGTATAGCAACTGTTATTGTCTCATTCTGATGAAAGCATTGATCAAAACTGATCAGTTTTGATTTGGTCTATGTTCTGATCGATCTATGTTTCGATCAAAACTATCAGAACAGTTTTTTCGATCAAAAAAACACAAAACAACACAATATATAGTCGAGCAGTTGTTTTGGCGCGTTATTTCATTTTTTTTCTAACATCGATTCCTCTCAAATCAACTCTGATTTGCTCGCAATCAGTAGTGTTAACGTTTCATTGGTCAGGGTCGGTAGTGTTGTTTGTGGTTGGTTGGTGTGTTCTGCTATGGTACTGGTGGTGGTGGTAGTTTAGTGTATTGCAAGAGTATGTCTCATGGACAGTGCATATTGCAATGACTATTTTGGGGACAGTATCTTCACTTATCAATGAATATATGAATGTGCTTGTTTGCATTTTAATGTGTATATGGTTGAGTGCAATAGGTCGTGTTTATTTATGGAGAATGCATAGTCCGTATTGTACTGTTAATTTAAGAATGTATATGAAAAAAATTTGGAAGCATTTCATTTTTTATTTTCATGAATAATCTGTGGATAGTAACCGAAGCGTTGAAAATGATGGGCAAGCAAAATTTTTTAGATTAACGAATTGATCAGCCGTATGAAATGATATTTAGGGAGGTAATTCATGAGTGGAGGATAGATAGCCAGCTTGAGCAGTCGTTTGAACTTGTATTAGATGTGTGGTGTTTTAGTGAGAGCTACTTGATTTCAGAGAGGGAAGTAAGTGTTAATTTAAGCCATATTTAGCGGTGAGTACAGTGGATTGTAACGATTAGAAAGTGAATTAATTCAATGTGCA